ATGGAGAGAGCCATAGCGTATATCAGGAGGATGGCAGAAACAAGGAAGTGGACGTGTTTTATACCAGGGAAGAGACCCAAGAGGATGAGATCCATGTTGGAAGACTCATTCCTTTGATCCATGTCTCTGCTGTGTTAGAAGTAATCGACCCAGGAGAAAAGCCAAAGTTGGAGAAATCATATAGATGTATTGGATTCTGTTCCCTAAGCTCTTGCTTTTCTTACTTTTATCAGCATCAGAAGGCTGTGATATTTCTGGAAATAACATCCTTTTAGCCAATTATTATGGCTAAGAAGGCTATCTTATACCACTCCTCCATCTACTTTATTCACAGAACATGTAAATGTCTATCCTGCATCTAGTAGTATAAGCTTGGACTCAATACCACCACCTCCCTTCCTTCCCATCTCATTTCCCTCTCTCCTGTGTGCTGGTCCCCTCCCTTAAACCTGTGACAAATATGTGGCATTCGTTCCAATCATACATATTCCCATTTATTATCTGCCAGCATGTGCTCAGTCTTAGGGAGACAAGATGAATAAAGAATAATTTCTGACATCAAAGACCTTTAACTTTATTGATGACGAGTAGTGAAAGACTCATGTGAAAAAATATGAAAGATGTTTTAATGGAAAAATATAGATGACACTTTGCACAATGGAGATGCAAAGCAGTCTTCATTTTTCAAAAGCTAGGGGAATTGCATGATGGCAAAATCTATGTTCACGGAGCCTTAAAAAACTAAACCATCAAATTTGAGACTTAGCATTATGGGATTGTAGGTGTTTAGAAAGGAAGGGTGTCTCAGAAATTGGCCCAGAAAAGCTAAGTGGCTTTCCAAGGTCACCAGCACCAGAGCCCTTGAGGCAGAGGCAACCAGCCAAGGTGCACTTGGATTACTGATGGAAAGAGCCATGAAGTAATAAATCATGTCCTAGCCTTTTTCTGAATTACAGCCCACTTTCAGATCCTCATTAAGTATATTCATAGTAGTGTTTTATTAAATGTAGCTTTGTCTGGTTTGTGCTTTATTTATGAGGATAATACTAGCTCTTGTAGTAGATAGTCTTCCAAATCTCAGTGGCTTAAGATATCAGAAGTATATTTCTCGTCAATGAAGTCCAAAATAGATGTTGACGGTCAGGTGGCCCTCCTCTGAGTGGAGTTTCAGAACCCAAGCTCCTGTCATCTTCTTGTTTACAATCTACAACACTGACTTCTGAGGTCATTCTGAGCAGGCAGCAGACAAGGTACGAACCTGTTAATGAGCCAAGCCCAAAAGTGCTGCACGGGCCCTCCTCTAGCATTTGGGTCCAGTCATATGGCCATGCCTCACTGGGGGCGGCGGGGAGGAGGAGGCTGGGAGTGTTTCTAGCTCAGTGCACAGGGAGAAGAGGAAGTAGGTTGGTAAGCAGCTGCCAGTCCCTGTCACATCTAAATTAATTTGTGTTTGCTCACTGACAATAAGCTGGTTCTCAGCAGAGATACTGTTTGTATTCCTTTACCCCTTTACTTGACCACAATGGTGGTGCTGTCAGTACTTGTTGAATCAAATGGAGCCTATCTTCCTGGTTACCCAGAAGAGCAGAGTCTCACTTCCCTTGCATAGATCAGATTCTTGGCCCTGCCAAAATAGAAGTGATCTTTTTTTTTTTTAATAGATTCTGTCTGTTATCTATTATGACATAATAATCATCCTAAGATAAAATAACACATTTATTACCTCATGGCTCTTTCCATCAGTAATCCAAGTGCACCTTGGCTGGCTGCCTCTGCCTCAAGGTCTCTGGTGCTGGTGATGCACTCTCATCTGAATTCTCAACTCGAGGATCCTTCCCAAGCTCACTCAGTGTTGTTTGCAGGTGCAATTCAGCCCTTCTTGTCTGTTGGGCTGAGGACCTTAGTTCCTTGCCTTTATATGAAGCAGCTGACAATATGGTAGCTAGCTTCCTTCAAGGAAAGGGAGAAAGAGAAAGAGGGAGAGATACAGAGTGTGAGAGCAAGTGGGAAGTCACAGCCTTTTTGTATCTTGATATCAGAAGTAGTAAGTGCTAAGGGGGAGCATGCACAAGGACATGAGTACTGGCAGGCATGGACCATTGGGAGCCATCTTTGAGGTGGCCTATCACAGAGATCCTCCACGTTTGTTGTATTTTTATGGAAACTTTAGAGTTTAGAGTTAGAAGCCACCTTCAGAAAAATCTACTTCACTCTTCACCCCAGTAATTTTTTATCTCCCTGTTATTTTAGTGATGAAGAAGAAATTAGAGTTCAGAAAAGTTTAATAGTCCCAGATCAGCCATCTGGTTAATGGTGAAGGACTGTGCCCAGGTCTGCTCTTACCTCGACTTTTTTGACAACTTGCATAACTTTAAATGATTTCTTGAGTTATTTTTAACTGATTCACATTAATTTTTTTTACTTCAATGACCTTTAGGAAAAATTGAACTTGTTCTGAATCAGCATAAAATATACTCATAGATAAGGACTGAGAAGAAATGTTTAGAAATTTGTGACTATAGCTAATTTCAACTTTTTAAATTATTAGTTTGTTATAGTTTACATGTGGATTTTCATTCTATAAAATATACTCTAAATATTAATGCATTTCAATTATATTTATATTATAAATTTTATCATTCATAAGACTTTAAAAATGTCCATCCATTTAAAAGATATCCATATTTAGCTGAATGAAAATATGTAAATATATGTGGCAATATATTTTGGAATTTTATGTGTCTTCACAGATTGCTTTGATAACCGTCTCATTTACAAGTGTCCAGGAAATGAATCATTTCATTTGGGCTGCAAAGTGGCGTGATCAGCAGGGGCGCAATAGAAGACTTGGTCATGGTGCTTGCATGATTATGGTAGATTCTGCTTATCATGGCCCGCTCTGCAACTTCTCTTTCTCTGGGTCTCAACCCTCATAGTAACACATGTATAGATTCAGACCTTTGCTTCCCATAGCTTACAGTCCTGACCAACGTAGTAAACAGGTTCATTTCTCAGAGTGGAATGTGCTCACCCTTAGCATCTCTGGTGAATTCACATGCTAGTAAATTCTTTGGATAATGATGGGACATTCATCCTGAGTTTTATCTTGTTTCCAACCTCGGCCTGTTGGTAAATCACTTTCTTTGTATCCTGGAAGGGCATGGTGCCCTCTTGCTCCAAAACCCTTTCCCTGACAAACTCCTCTCAGCAAAAGGTCTGGGAAATGCATGCCTTGTGATCTGATAGGCTGTGCTCTGTGAGCAGGCACTGAGCTTGGAAGGAAAGAAAGCCAGGAGCCGAGGACATGGACCTCTGAAAGAGGCATCATTGGCCTCAGAAATCAACTTCCAGAGAAGCAGGGTGTGGAGACATCCCTGGCACCCATCCTCGAGCACCACATAATCAGCATCTGTACTTTGTCCTCTGTCTCTACTGTCCTATATCGATTCTCCTTTATCCACACTCCTATGACTGCAATTCCACTCACCACATAAAGTCACACATTTAGTCTCCAAAAAGCATCTACAATCTCCCTTATTTAAATTTTACTCTTCCACTTAGCATCCTTTTCTATGTCCTTTTCTTAGTTAATTGTCAACTCTCTTACATCTTTTGCTATAATTTCCTATGGGACCACTGCTCAAATTCTCTTATGCTCAGTCTCTCATTTTCATCTTCCCTTTCACAGAGAAATCAAATTCTATTTTCTCTCATAATTTCCAGATAATGAGGAAAATATATTTGAAAAGAAAATATGTCAGCAGCATTCAAGGAGATGGGCTTCGTTATTTTCTGATTAGTTATTGACTAACCAATTGATGTGTGGAACATTGTTCCCTTTACAGAACATTACATGGTTAGAGAAACCCTCTCATGACTGATTTTAAGAGGTTTTCAAAATTAAGTAGTCTGAATTTTATCACTTCTGGGAAATTTCTTCAGTATATCACTTCCAAGTCAGTTCATCAATAGGAAAAGGAGACCATGGTTTGCTTCTTTTCTCTGGTTTAAAGGCAGTCATCTGAACAGGCACCTTGAAATGAAACAAAAACATCTTGTCAAACCTATCTGAAACTGGATTCGTTAGTGAAATACTTTTCATCTTAGTCAAAAGAATGGGTTTGTGACATCACTGAAGTAGAATTGCTTATGACACTTGTTAAATGCAACCAAATTCAATGCTATGTCATTAAGGAGATCATTTTTTCTCACCTTACCTTAGTTTTCTACTTGAATCTGCAAATACATAGCTTTCCAAGATATGCAGTTTTTTGCTTTTGTCCATTTTCTTGTGTGAATCCAGCCGGGTAGACAGAACTGACCATTTTTTGCTGCCATCTATACAGGAAAATTCAGAACTTGTTAGTGAGACAGGTTTTTATGCTCAGGAAGTTCTCCTTCCTTTTGGATTTCCACCAGCTAATGTAAACCCTTGTTTCTCTGTGCAATCTCTGCAATGACAGCAACATCACCTGCCTTTTCTATGTCATCTCTTCCCAAGGGCCCTGTGAGAGCAGATGCAGGGTCATCCCAGTCCCTGAGGCCTATCTGCTGTCCTGGCTGCCTGCCCTGTGCTCTGCTCTGAGCAAGTTGCACAAGGGAGCTGTGGAAGGTCTGTTATAGACATTCACATAGTTCTGCTTCAAGGTCCAAACACTGAATTGTATTTGTACTAAATTTTAGCATTGACAAATGTGATTTTGCTTATTTCTGTCACATAATCTTCAAGAGCACAATGTGAGTGAAAATAACGTGTGTTATCATTTCAACATTATGGACAGTGAAAGTGATATCTGATGATTTAAGGTTATGACCCCAACCCTTTCCTCTGGATTCCAGATGACTTTGGAGTTGCTCCTCTAAGAGCTCTTGCTGGATTTTTGCCATTTCCATAATAACTGATGTAAACTCCCATCCGCCTCCAC